CTATTGACTGGGAGAGAATGGAGAACAGAAAGAATTAATGTTCTTTAATTAAGAATAGGAGCTTTGCAACAGGAGGATCTGAAGTTTGGAGAGATCCCTAGGGGTGGGGGTGGCATGGATTTGTGGTTTGGGGGAGACTTATTCAACGGAATATCTTAAAGGGTGATCCTGGTAATATACATCAGAATCCTTTAGGGTAGCTGTTAAAAACAAAGATTCTGGGGCCCTATCCCATTACTGTATCAGAATGTGTGTGGAGGGGTTGGGGGGGGTGGCAGGCTGGAAAGCTCCATTTTCAATAAACTCCCAAGGTGAGTCTTACAGGCACTGATCTATGACGTTGTACTGAGGAACAAGGAATTTAATTTCTGTCCGTTTACTATCTTTCAAAAAAAGATAGTAATATTAGCTCTACCTCGCTCTGGCTGTTTTGAGGAGTGAATGAAATAAATGTGAAAGTACTTTGGAAAGGTTAAGGTGATTCAAAGATAGGATCAAGGGAGTCTGTGAAATTGGGCAGGGTTGGTAGAATGGGGCAAAAAAATGGAAAAGAGGCTGTGAGAGAGGGTCTGTGGATTGAAGGGCTTGGGGGAGAGGGAGTAAGCTGTGAAGGGAGAATCCTGTCACCTGCGGGGTCCGGTGGAGCTCATACAAACTCAGTTCCCACGTTTTGCTGGCATTCTGGGCATTCGCGGGCGTCGTCATGGCGACTGGGCACAGACCCCCGCCGGGGCTCCAACGCGGACAAGGAGGAGTGGACGGCTGGGGAGAGGGGGAAGGGGAAAGGGGAGGGACGGGGTTAAGGGGACCGCCCTCGCGCAGACCCCGCCCCTCCAGAGCCCCTTGCCGGCCCGGCCCCTCACCCGGCTCCCGCGGTCTGCGCTGCCGCCGCCGCAGCGCCGCGCCCTGGGCCCGGGCTCTCGGCCGAGTTCGCTCGGTCCGCAGCCGCTGCTCAGACAGCAGCTCCCGCCGCCTCCGCCGCCTTGGCCCAGGCGCTTGGGTCCTACGTCACTTCCGCCTGTCCCTCCACTCCACTGCCAGCCGCCCGGGGAGACGTCACCCGCCACTCGCGGAGCGGGTGGAACGCGACGTGGACACCCGGGCTCCCCCGCCCCCCGCACAGAGTCGGCGTCCCTGGAGTCCAGCGCCACGTGGGGACCGCGGTCTCCGCCTCCGGCCCAGCACCGTTGCACAGACAACCTTAACCCACAGTTCCCTTCTCTTGGCCCCCACCTGGGGCCTCCGCTCCAGAGGGCGGGGCCTGGGGTCGCTCGGACCCCGGGAGGGGACGGGGGGGGGGATTGCAGAAGGGTCACCTCCCCCACTCCGCGTCCCCTAGCGGCTCTGGGAGCGGCTCCCCATCCCTACACACTCCGTAACCCCAGCCCGGGATTAGGGGGAGTAAATGCTGCCAAGGGTCCCCTGCCGCTTCTGTCCTCCAGTCCGGTGAATTCAACTAAGTCCCGATGTGCCCGGGATTCCCTTTGCCACCCTGAGGACTTGCTCTACCCTCCGCTTTGGCTCTCCCTAGACCCTCCGACCCGCTCTCCCCTCGAGGTTTGGGGGCGACGGCTCGGGACGTCCAGACTCAACTCTCGGCCGGAGCCAGAGACTCGAGAATTGCGTTTGGACAATCAAGAGCCGCGGCCCGGGGCGGGGAAGGGAGGCGCACGGGAGGAACGGGGGAATGGAGACACCACGCGGAAGCAGGGACACACACACACAAGATGGGGCCCCTATCGGGGAGGGGGTGTGCGCGGGTGGAGGGGCACAAGAGGCCGAATGACTGGAGTGTGAAGCAGGTAGAGGCTTCCTCTAGGACTTCGCAGTAAAGGAAGGGGACGGGGAGGAAAGAGAAGAGGAAGGGGCAGAGCGATCCCAATTGAAGGCAGGGGATGAGAGGGATACGGGGGAGGGGTGGGGAGAAACCGTGATGGGCGTCCCGTCTCTTCCAGCCTGAGCTGGGGCTCCCGGACTTGGGCTGCAGCTGCCAGGGGGTGGCCTGTTCCTGGGACAAGGCAGCAGTGGGTCCCCTCGCCCCCTCCCCCAGATCCCCCCTACTTCCCTGTCCTCTCCTTCAGTCCGTGGCCAGTCCTTATGTGGGCTCCAGAGTCGATTAGCGCGGACCCCCCTCCCCTTCCTCCTCCTTCTCCCAGCCCCCTCCCTTCTACTCTCCTCCAGCCCCTTTCAACGGCTGGTCCATTCCCCTAATCCTGGCCCCCTCCCCTAATCCCCCCCATCCGACCCCAGGCCTGCTGCAGCTATTGTAAGGTGGAGAGAAAGGGGAGGGGGGAACTTAGATAAAGGAGAGGGATGGGGGAGGGCCACCTGTTCCAAGACCCCCTCCCAAGGCCAGGCTGGACACCAGGATGAGGCCATGAACAAATCACCCTTGGGGACCATAAAGACCCAGGGTATTGGGGGGAGGGGACTGGGGCTGCAGGACTAGTGGAAGGGGTTGGGGCAGACCCCTCCTTCCAAAAAGACCCAGAGTGTCACGCATACACAGTGACACACACTCTTTCCTCTCACACCCGGTGGCAGGGGGTTGCCCTGGGAGACTAGGCAGTGAAAGGGAACAATCCTTCGGGAAAGGGAAAGGAGGGGGAGGTGGGGAAGGGTCTGAGAGCTTAGACACAAGAACTGGAGGTGGCAGGGAGGAGGATTTGGAATTTATTGGGGTCACAAGCACCCCTGTCTCCCATATTCAGCATTCCTGAGAGCCATACACTGACACCCCTTTTGTAGCCTAGGAATTCAGAGTCCTCATCAGCAGGAGGCCTTGCAGAGTTGTGGGAGTGAGCCGAGTCCAGGGTCCTTGAGGCAGTTACATGAAAAGACCTCCTGGGAAGGGCAGAAACATTTGAACAGATGCATAGGTGGAAACAAATGGGTGAGGGGGGGGGGGTCCCATCTTCTGTCCTAACCTCAGTGGCTCCAGATTCCCCTCACTTGCTTTCTCAAATCATCTGGATTCCATTTCTCTGCCCTCTCCCGCCCCACGATGGCCTCATACCAGTGACTTCCACTGAGGCCCCAGTGATGTATCCACTGTCATCAGATGCTAAGAATGCGACCACATCTGCCACATCTATGGGAACAGTGAGGGGAGGGCAGAATCCTACTCACTTCCATAGACCCAAAGGAGCCATCATCTTCCACCAGAAACACCCCCTCCCCCCAAAACACACACACCAACCACCAATCCTGGTGAGACCCTCTCAGATACCAGACTTTGGGATCCCTTCACCCAGGGCTTCCCCAGGGCCCACTCCCCAGTCAGTGCTCACCCTGAGGGTCCCCCAAATGTCCCATTGGGATCATTCCAGTCACCTGTAAGGAAACACTCAAATGGCTGAAAGTTTCTTTTTGGATTTTTTGTAGACTGAGTCTGTGACCGTTTTTTCTTGTCTCTATTCCTTGTGCACTTCTTTAATACCTGCTATTTGTCAGGCACTGTGCCCAGCATTCTCTCTCAAGCCCAGGAAGGCTGGGTCTCTGAACAGTTCAGCTCTCTGCCCTCCACTCACAGCTTCCTACCTGATCCAGCACTTTCTGTGGCACTTTCTGCATCATGGGTGTTGTAATGAACCCCGGGAGGACAGAGTTACAGCGGATCCCATGTCTGCAAAAGGGAGAGTAGCTGCTGACTCTGGAGAGGACTGAACCCTGACCCCTCACTCAGAGCTCCCACATGCCTCAGCAAGGGCCCCTAAACCCCCAGGTGTCTGACCCACCGTCCAAGCTCCCGGGCTACAGTCTGGGTCAGCCCAATTACTCCAGCCTTGGATGCTGCATAGTTTGTCTGTCCCATGTTCCCCACCTATAGGTGAGTCAGAAATCTGAGATGAATCGGGTTCCAAGGAGAGGTTTCCTCTCTATGCCCTTACCTCAACCCAACTCAACCTGACCTTGCCTACGATGCTACTGATGTTGATGATGGAGCCATGACAACCATTGGACACCAGGGCTTGGGCTGCAGCCTGCGTAACTAGAAAGATGCCCTAGTGAGGAGAGAGTAACAAGGCAGAAAGGATCAGCTGGGGTGACAGTCGTCCTCCAACTCCCTTCCGAGGTTAGAGGGGCCAGAAGTCCCGCGTTCAGAGGTGGTCACCTTCAGGTTGACAGATATGACTTTGTCCCAGTCATCCTCTGACATGTGAAGCAGAAACCCATCCCTGATAATGCCCGCACAGGACACAACGATAGATGGCGGGCGAGAAAAGCAGACCTATGGAAGAGGGAGGTTACACACCAAAAAACCATGGAAAGAGCCAGGGGCGGTAGAGGCAATGCGAACACTTTAAAGGGGGAGAAGTCGCTCGCGTTCACCTGCACTTGTTCCAGCAGGCGCCTAGTGGCCACGGCCTCAGACACGTCAGCCTGGAAAGCAGCGTGGGCCCCGCGGGGCACCCCCTCCACATTCCCTGGCCCGCCCAACAGCCCCAACGTCTCCCGTGCCGCTGCCCCGTCCAAGTCGCAAGCAGCCACAGTGGCCCCCTCTCTGGCCAGCCGCACACAGACTGCTCGGCCGATGCCACTACCCGCACCTGCGGTGGAAGAAAACACGAGGTGGGACGGGGGGAGGAGTGGGCAGAGGTTAATAGAGCGCCAAGTTAGTAAAACTCGTCCCAGGGGTCAAAGGTCACAGCAGCTGCACAGCCCGAGGGGGCGCCCCCGACATCATTCCCGCACCCCAAACCGCCTTGGGAGAGCACCCCCTCAACCTGTAATCAGCGCCAGCGCGGAGCGTAGCCGGAGCTGAGTCGCCATGGCTGGCTGCGAGTGGGCGGGCACCCAGCACGGAGCCAATCCAAGCGCACAGGGGGGCGGGGCGAGAGCAAAGGCAGGCCAATCGTAGCCCCACCAGCTTTAGGCCATCTGCGGCCACCAGCACAGGCGGACCTCCCACCGTGGGGGGCGTGGCCGGACAGTACAGCTTAGGGGTTTGGGGAGTAGAGAGACTAGGGGCCCATTCTTCCAAAAAAGACAAAGACTGCTTTTGGGACGGAAGATCCGAGGACTTTATTTTCGGCCACCACCCCACCCCCTCGATTCAAACAGTGATATAAAAAAATAAACAAAAGTTCAGGCCATGAGATTAGCAACTAACGCCCCCTCCCCCCCAAATCACTCCCAAATCAGGACACACGATTGTTGTTTAACTTATGTTTACCCCATGGTTCCTGATGCCCCTTCTGTCCAGGGCTTTGGTCTTCTCTGAAGCCTCCACCAACAGGTGGGAGAGGGAGGAGGACCTTGGAGAAGCCTGTGTGTGGCAGCTCGTTCCTCCGAGAACAGGTGGGGTAGGGGACATGAGTAGGCTGCCATGACTGGTCTCTTCCAGCCTTCTTCATGGCCCCATTTAGTCCCCCAAACCCAACAACATGGTCAGCACACAACCAACGCTTGGTTCCTCTGGTCTCTCATTCTCATTTCTGCAGCCCCTATAAGACTGCCAAACCTTAGCCCTCATGCCAGTCACCACTTCCTTCCCTACGATGCGAAAACTCCTTCCTTTGGCAGATGTCCTTCCTTGGCCAGGGCCCCAACCTCCACAGCCCCGAACTCAAACTCGGAAGACTTAAGAGGCCAGAGGTTTGGGACTGAGTGGGGGTGTTTATTCCACCTCTCACTCGAGGTGGGCAATCAGCACCATCATGACAACCCCCCCCAGCAGCCCCAGCACCTCCAGAAGTGACTGCAGTGGTGACGCTTCCCTCAACAGCTCAGGCAACACAGACACGGTTGCTACGTAGATAAAGCCACCTGCAGTGAACGGCAGAATCCAGCCAGGACCTGCACCACCTGCAACTTCACTACCCACTGCTCCTCCTTCAGTTAGGAGGGCACAGGCTGTGCCCGCCAATGCCCCTACCGCCGTCAGTAGCTGCAGACGCATTGCCTGGTGGGCAGAAAAGAGGCAGAGGCACTTATCAACATCTAAAGGTTATCAGTGGTTTAGACATGGCTGGGGGTGGGGTGGGGGGTGTACAGGTATATATGGGTAGGGTGCATGCCTTTGGAAACAAAAAAGTATGGTAAAAAGAAGGAAATCTAGAATAGACACTTTCTGAAAAATCTTATGTATCAAAACCATTCAAATGGCTTATAGACCACAGTTCAAGAAATACTAAGCTACAAGACAATGAAACAGTGATCTAGAAATGATTTCTAGAAGATTTATTATCAATAACAGTACGACTTGTTTAGAACTAAGGGGAGGCAGTTTGGGTTTGGGGTGGGTGAGCAGCGGATAAAGAGCTGGAGGCAACCATGTTTGGTGCACATCATCACCAACCTGCTTTTTGCTGCAGCCCGACTGGACCAAGATGGCAAAGTCTCCGACTTCATGTGGCACTTCATGTAGCAGGACAGTCATTGTGGTCAGGATCCCCAATCCTCGACCCCCTCGAAATGAAGCACCAATGGCCAGACCATCTGTGAAGTTGTGTGCCAGGTCAGCGGCCAAATTCAGGTACCCTGATACACGGAGGTCTTGTATAGGAGTAAAGGAAGACAAAACAGTTAGAGGCTCCATCACCCCCCATCCCAACTCTGGTCCAGCTGTTATCACATCTCCCGCAGAGATCACTTCACACCCAGCCTCTCAGTATTTTCCAGATACCTACCATCACCCATGGCACATACCCCAAGGGGCTCAGGACAATGCCCCTTGTCCACACTTATTACCAACCCTGGCCCTTACCTGAACCTGTTTTTCCCTCTTCAGAATTCTGAGGTCTCAATGGCCAATCTTTGGGCCCTGTATTCCGTCCTCTTCGCTTCTTTGACCCCCCTGCTTCCTTTTCTTCTTCATCTGAGCTCTGTTTCTCCTTTAAAGAACGCTCTGAGGGAAGAAAGGAGTTGGTAAAAGTGGGGAACAGAGATCTAATATGTCCTCAAAAGGTAAGTCCCCTCCAATCTAATACCCATAAGGTGAGGGGATTCTGAGGCAAACAAGGTGGCTTTCAGGAAGGTTGTTCCTCGGCTCACCGTGTCTTCCAAGTCCATGACTTCCGTGTATGGGACCATGAGCATGTCCATGTCCATGACTGTGTCCATGTCCTCCTTTCACGTGTCTCACAAGTTTCTCCACCACAAGAAAGGCGACAATTCCACTAAGGACCCACAGTCCCACAGACAGAATGGGGCCCTGGCCTGAAAATGGAGGCAGTGAGACATTAAGGGAGATGTGGATTCCAGGCTTAACCTCCTCAAGTGCAGAAAGAGAAGAATTGGGAGGGGTAGACCTTCCCCAGCACCCCAATCCCTTCCTCACCACTGTGGGAGTGTCCATGTCCAGGGTGCTCCTGAGGGTGGTGGGAATGAGGTTCTGGCAAAAGGGGGAGAAAATGCCAGATGAGCGAATACCCCAATATTTGGAGGAATACTAGAAGGTCAAGGATCACAAAGGGGAAAGAACCCTTTTGCCCAAAGAATAAAATAAAAGATTTGAGGTAGAAGTCTGAGGTTCCTTACCCAGGGCATGAGGGATGAGGTGTAGGAAGGCATCTCCGAGGAGCCCACCAGAAGCAAAACTGAGTAAGATCTGGAGTAGAGACCGGTGCCGGGGGCAGTTTGACTCCACAGGAATAAGGAAGAGGACAAAAAATGGAGCTGCTGAAATCAGCACTGTGGCCCCCAGTGCCTGGTGAGGGAGAGTCAGGGGTCAAGAGGTGCGGGGTTTCCCAACAATCCAGAACCAGCCCCTCCCCACCCCCATCCCCTGAGGACTCACATAGGCCCAGAGAGTGACAGTGTCCAGGTCCTGCTTGATGCCTGGAGCCCCAGACTCCCCATAGCTTCCATGGCTGTGCTCATGGTTATGTCCATGCCCTCTGTGGTAGAGGCTCTCATGGGAGTGGCCATGGCTATTGTCATGGTGCAAATCCTCATGTGAATGTCCGTGGTCATGACCGTGGTTATGCCCATGCCAGATGCTTTCGTGAGTGTGGCCATGGCCATGGGCATGGCTGTGGCCATGGTGGAAATCCTCATGTGAATGGCTGTGTCCATGGAAGTCTTCGTGCAGGTCCTCGTGCATGTCGCCATGACCCCCGTGTCCGGCCACGAGCAGCCCCACGGCCGCCCAGGTCAGCAGACCCACGGCCACCCAGTGGGGGGCCCCCAGGCCTCTGGCCATCACGCTGACCAGAGGAACAGAGACAGTAACTCCACTTGACCCTCAACTCTATAGCTATGCGGGGTCCGCTTTACTCCGCTCACGCCCTCCGTCCACTTCT